TCTCATCTCCCTGAGTAGCTAGAATTATATATATATAAACCTCTGATTCAAAAAATGATTTGCTAGGGGCTGGGAAGGTGGCTCAGTGGTAGAGCGCTTGCCTTGCATGCCTGAGGCCCTGAGTTCGATTCCTCAGCACCACATAAGCAAAAAGAAAAGAGCCGGAAGTGGTGCTGTAGCTCAAGTGTTAGAGTGCTAGCCTTGAGCTGAAGAGCTGAGGGACAGTGCCCAAGCCCAGAGTTCAGACCCCACTACCGGACCCCCCCAAAAAAATGACTTGCTAATACATTTTTTAAGAATCTCAAATGAAATGTTTGGCAAGTGCAAAACATACCTAATACGTCTTATTAGTGATAATATTTGAGCAAGCCTTTTGTTATCAGAATGAAAAATATTCAAGTATGTGGTCATTTACAAAACTAGTGTTACTAAGTGGAAGCAGAGAAAATCAGGCACTCGGTCATGGACATACACACTTAGCAGATGGAGGATCTAGAAGAAAGAATCAGAAACAGAAGATCCATGTCTGTTTCATTGCTGCTCTATGTGCCTTGTAAAGTTGTAAGAATTAGAGTCTGTGTCAAGAACTTTGTTTTCCCTTTTATTTTTTTCCCAAATATTAAAACTGTCAAGGGTATTTGGCTTCTGTGTCATCAGGAAACTATTCTGAGTGTTGTTTCCTTGGGGGAGGAAGGAGTATGATGATTCATGCTGGCCTTATCTTCTCTCTGTTTTCAGAAGGATGTCATGTAACTCAGTTGTATTTTGTTTTTTTCAAAGCATTCAAGGCTTTGGGGAAGCTATAACATTATGACCATATTCTTAGCTGGGCCTCATTTTCTGAGCAGCCTGTATTTAGGTTTTTAGTCCTTCCATAATGGAAAACATTTTTAAAAAATGTTTTTTATTGTAAAAATAGTGTACAGAAGGGGTTACAGTTCCAGGAGTAAGGTAATGAGTACATTTCCTATGGAGCATTGTTACTTCCTCCTTTGTTTATCCCCTACCATCCCTTCCCTCCCCACCTCCTAACCATAAGGGAAAACATTTTAATAACCCAGTCTCTCAGACAGTTTAGCTGATAGAAGTGAAAAGGAGTCTCCTTTTCATTACCAACTAGAAGAAACTGTTCTTAGATGCATAACTCCAATAAAATTTTATTAGCATACATTAATTGTACTAAGGGGTCTCATTGCAACATTTCCATGTATGTATACAAGGAACCCCATCAATATCACTTCTATGACTCTCTCTTACCTTTCTCCCCCTGTTCTATTTTCATATAGGCAAACAAACTGCTTCAACTTCATCCTCATTCACCCTCCCCCTTCCCATGGATGTCTAGCCCCACAACAGACTCTGTTTTACTTTTCTGCCTTTTGATTTCAGTGTGTATTAATTGTACGATGGGGTTTCACTATGGTATTTCAGATGTGTATATTATTATTAAAAAAATTTTTTTTTGGTCGTGGGGCCTGAACTCTAGGCCTGGGCACTGTCCCTTAACTCTTCAGCTCAAGGCTAGCTCTCTACCACTTGAACCACAGCACCACTTCCAGCCTTTTCTGGTTATGTGGTGCTGAGGAATTGAACCCAGGGCCTCATGCATGCTAGGCAAGCACTCTACCACCACTGAGCCACCTTTCCAGCCCCTCAGATGTGCATATTATTATTTTGCTTTTTTTTTCCAGACCCAAGGCTTCCCATACACTAGGTAAGTGGTCTACCAGTGAGCTATATCCTGCACTCTTCAGAGAAATTTAGACATTTCCCTTCTGTTTCTTTCTTTTTTATATTTTTTTATTGTGAAAATACTGTACAAAGGGGCTACAATTACATGGGCAAGGTAATGAGTGCATTTTTTATCAAGCATTGTTGCTTCCTCCTTTGTTTCCCCTTCCTAGCCCTTCCCATCTCCCCCGCCCCCTTCTGTTTCTATTGAGATGACCATGTTTATTTTGTTCCTCATCCTGATGTGAAATGTATTATGTTTATTGATGTATGCATATGAAACCATCCTTGGATACCTGAGATGAATTCCATTTGCTCATTCATAGTCTTTTGGGGGCTGGGAAAAAAAATAACAAGAGTCTTTTTGATGTGTGGTTTGATTTGACAAGCTAGCATTTTGTTGAGAAGTTTTTTTCTTTTATTTTTATTGCCAAGTGATGTGCAGAGGGGTTACAGTTACATAAGATAATACGTACATTTCTTGTCAAAACTTGTTACTCTTTCCCTCATTTTTCTCCTACTTTCCCTCCCCACCTTGAGAACTTTTTTGTTTGCTTGTTTTGTTTTTTGTTTCTGTCAGTTGTGGGACTTGAACTCAGGGCCTGTACAGGTCAAGGCTGTCCCTGAGCTTTTTTGCTCAAAACTAGCACTCTTTGGCAAAGACTCATTCAATCTAAGGACTGTAGTTCAAGGCCAGCCCAGGCAGAAAAATTCATCTGAGACCAGCAAAGAGCCAGGCTGGAAGCATGGCTCAAGAGACTCTTATCTCTAATTAACCAGCCAAACACTGGAAGTGGCACTGTGACTCAAGGTGGCTGTAGAACACTAGCCTTAAGCAGAAGTGCTTAGGGGCAGTGTCCAGGTCTTGAGTTCAAACCCTGTGAATGCCAACTGGGATGAGCTATCCCAGCAATGAGCACCTAGACACCCAGGACTCAGCCAGTCTGGGGAAAAAGGAACCATGGAGAGGAATTAGAGATGATGATGTTACCTCCTAAATGGAGCCACTACATTCACCTTTTCAAAATGAATCAGATCCAGGAGATCAATAGACATAGTTAAGCTTGTCCATCTCATGTATCCAGACATCTACCAAGGCCTCTCAGCAGGCCCTATAACTACTCCAGTTCAGCCCCAGAGTCTGACTGTTTACCAGTCTACCATACACTCCCCTACCTAGTTGCCAGATGTCAGAAGGAGCTAGGGACATTTTCCACCAACTCCAGGACTGCCTGGAATGGAGATAGGAACTAACCAAGTCATCCAATTTTTAATTTGCTGCCCCCATCCCACCCTTCTGACATTTGTATTTCCTCTAATATTTTTTCTTATTGCTTAGCCCCTGCCTTGTAAGATTTCTTTCAGATGTCATCTAAGGACATATACATGTGTTCACTACCAAGGAACAGTTGCTGTTTGTTGCTTTCCCCCAGACTGGACAACAACCCACTTTTTACCCCTAATGTCGATACCCCTTAACAGCGGGAAGTAGCCAAAGAGAATCATGGCCCATTTATAACTATCAAAAGCCTGGGATGTTAGGTCTGCCCAGGAGAATAGCCCCTTTCCCTTTCCTTTTCACCTGCTAAAACCAGTAATCGCCTGACTGTCAATCAGCTGACTGAGTCAGGAAAAGATCCCAGGTTCTGAGATCACGTCTGTCCCCTCTGGTTCTGTATCCCCTTTGGTCCCGCCTCCCACCTTTCCCTATATAATCCAGCTCAACATTAGTCCTTGTCTCTCTCTTTCTCTTTCTCATTCCCTTCTGCCTCTGCACACCTCCATTTTGTGTGGGTCTACAGTTTGCTTTCCTCCCAGGAAAACTTTTTCCTGCCTGAACCAGGTGGCAGTTTCCTTTCGGGTGAATTTTACAATCCTCAGATCTCAGCCTTCTGAGTAAATAGGACTTTATAGTCATGAAACATTGGTGCCCAGCTGATATAAACATTTTGTTGCTGGGTGCCAGTGGCTCATGCCTTGTAATCCTAGCTAATCAGGAGGCTGAGATCTGAGGATCAGGGTTTGAAGCCAGCCTGGGCAGAAAAGTCTGTGTAAAACTCATATTTCCAATTAACCACTCAAAAACTGGAAGTGGAGCTGTGGCTCAAAGATGTAGAGTGCTAGCTCTGAGCAAAAGAGCCTCAAGGACAATGCCCAGGTTCTGAGTTCAAACCCTACAACTGACAGACAAACAAACAAAAAAACCCGCCAAAAAAGAACTCCACAACATTTTGTTTATTATGTCTAGGCCCCTTCCATAGGACTGTTCTCATATTGGGCATTTCTTTGGCTGTCTATGTAGCTCTTTTTTGATGGGGTAGTGTAAGAAAAGCAAATATTTCCTTATTTGATTTCACTTGCATTGGATACTATTAGACATTCATCTCTGGCTTTTCATAAATAACTCTTCATCATTTTGAAGAACTATCTTGGGGGCTGGGATGGTGGCTCAGTAGTAGAGCGCTTGCCTTGCATGCCTGAGGCCCTGGGTTTGATTCCTCAGCACCACATAAGCAAAAAGAAAAAAGCCTGAAGTGGCGTTGTGGCTCAAGTGGTAGAGCGCTAGCCTTGAGCTGAAGAGCTGAGGGACAGCGCCCAGGCCCAGAGTTCAGGCCCCACGACTGGACAAAAAAAAAAAAAAAGAACTATCTTGTAGGAAACTGAATGTTAGAGATAAGTAGTAAAAAAAAAAAAAGATTTTTTTTCATTTTATACCTTGTATATATGTTACCTGTTCAGAGAAATGGTTAAAATGATTTTTTTTTTTTGTCAGTCATAGGGCCTGAACTCTGGGCCTAGGCACTGCCCTCAGCTCTTCTACTCAAGGCTAGTGCTCCACCACTTGAGCCACAGCGCCACTTCCCACTTTTTTCTTTTTGCTTATGTGGTGCTGAGGAATCGAACCCAGGGCCTCTTGCATGCAAAGCAAGTGCTCTACCACTGAGCCACCTTCCCAGCCCCCACCCCCAGAACTTTTTCTAAGGCAAGGAAAAGTTATTTTCTCTCGCTCTCTCCCTCTTTCCTTCTCTTCCTCTCACTCCTTCTCTCCCTCTCCCCCCACCCCTCCCCTTTCTCTCAACAAGATCTTGCTATATATCCAAGACTGGCCCCAAATTCATGATCTACCTATCATCACCTCCAAAGTGCTAGGATTATAGACATGTACTACCATGTTTGGCTCTTTTTTTTCTCTCTCTTTGAACATCAACAGTGAAACTAAGGTTTGTTCCAAAATGGTAGTGATTTGCTCATTTTGAGTTTTCTTCCAGCAGGTGTGTTGCCGCCAGACAGATTACTGGCAATTTGTGAAAGATATCCGTTGGCTCAGTCCCCACTCAGCCCTTCATGTGGAAAAGGTAAGAGTGGAAAAAGAGCTGGTATCCTGGTGTGTAGTTGCAAGTCTTCATTGTCTGATATTTTGTTGGCAGAATCTTTTGCTCTAGAATGGAGTGCGAACAGTTTCCTTTTTTTTGTTTTTTGTTTTTGTTTTTTTGTTTTGAACTTAGGACCTGGACACTCCCTGAGCTCTTTTTGCTCAAGGCTAGTGCGCTACCACTGTGAGCCACAGCTCCACCTCCAGGTTTTTACTGGTTAATTGGAGATCCAAATCTTACAAACTTTCCTGTGTAAGCTGGCTTTGAACCATGATTCTTAGATCTCAAACCCCTGAGTAGCTATGACTGTGAGCCACATGTGCCTGGTTTTGCTTGGTTTTTCTGCTCAAGGCTAGCACTCTACCACTTGAGCCACCATGCCACTTCCGGCTTTTTTCTTTTTGCTTATGTGGTGCTGAGTAATTGAACCCAGGGCCTCATACATGCAAGGCAAGCGCTCTACCACTGAGCCACCTTCCCAGCCCCTAACTTTTTTTTTTAATAAGTTTATTATTATGAAAATACTGTACAGAGGGTTTACAATCACATGAGCAAGGAAATGAGTACATTGTTGCCTCCTCCTTTGTTTTTCCCCTATCATCCCCTCCCTCCCATCTCTACAACTACATTCTTGCCCCCTCCTGCCTAAATTGTAAAGTTCATTTTTTTTTTTTTTTTTTTTTGGGTCTGGTCATGGGGCCTGAACTCTGGGCCTGGGCGCTGTCCCTCAGTTCTTCAGCTGAAAGCTAGCGCTCTACCACTTGAGCCACAGCGCCACTTCCGGCTTTTTTGTTTTTGCTTATGTGGTGCTGAGGAATGGAACCCAGGGCCTCAGGCATGCAAGGCAAGCGCTCTACCACTAAGCCACCTTCCCAGTCCCTAACTTTTTTTTAAAATAAGTTTTTTAGTGTGGTCTT